TTATTATTATTATTAATTATTATTATTAATTATTATTATTATTTTTATTATTATTATTGTTATTATTATTATTAATTATTATTATTAATTATTATTATTGTTATTAATGTTAATAATAACAATAATAAAAATGAGGATACCACTGTGAATAACAATGGCTAAAGTAATGATGATAATAATAGCAATAGCAGTAATAATGATAATAATAAAAATGAAGTAAAAATCACAGTATCAGTGATAGCCGAAAGGAAATTATGGATAATGATTGTCATAGTTATCATCATTATTGAGTAATTTTCGTTTTCGTTTCTGTTACAATAGCTGTTTTGATCAATGATATTTGCAAAAGTTGTTTCTGGTGGCATCAGATTCATTTGTTTTAGCGAGATGTAGGGAGGTTCAATTGCAGACGATAGGGAAATGACAGAGGTGATCAAAAAAGTCGCTTGAAAACGCTTATCAGTGATAGCTATGGGAGGGGATTGTTAACGCAATTGCTCCCTTGCATTGATTATGTTTATCTTGCTTGTTCGTTTCGATGCCACATCTCTGAGCTATTTGCAGCGACTGAATCGCTCGGCTTTCTCATAATAGCGATATATTTATTAATCGCAGCACTTGAAGTATTCTTTCTATACATCGTCTACAGACTCTACCAGTAAGTGCTCGTTCAATTGTGTGTTCATTACAGTGTGATTAAACTAAGTCAAATGAGAAATAATTCTGTTCATTTCAGATACCTAAGAGAATATCATTTAATTAGTGCACGCGATCCATTCTCGATCGACAACGAGGTTTATTCGGCATCTAATTGGCAAGCACCGGTAAAAGGAGGTATAGCGTACGAATACAACGGAGGACGTGGATCACCAGATGCTGGTGACATCTATCCATACGGTGTTTAGTCATTAAATTGCTCAGTGTTTATTCTTTCCCTAATTTCAATTTTGCTTTCGAGATTATTCGTGGTGTTTGTTGCTGTTTCTAAAATTATGTTAATGTGTGATCGAATTATTGTATCTGCATATTCGTATCTGGCGAATATGAACTCTTAATTGTTACATTTCGTTTCGATACATTTCATTTCAGATTAAATTGTCGTAATCGATCTGTTTCGATCACGATTTGTGATTAATTACACTCAGTGGAAATATTGATCGGCATCCTGATTTTCCAAAACCTTTTTCTTTATTAGCATTATTTTGTTGCAGAAAAACAGCCAAAAATGAAAATTGAAATTGTGCTGAATACTTGGCGCGTTTTTTTCTCATAAAAACGTGTCATTTTTAGCCTACAGAAGAACTGAAGTACACATTTTATGAAACAATCAATTTTTTCCTTCAGAGTGCATAAAATTTGAATTTTAAAATGAATTGTGGTAAGAAACAGATGACTCATTGTATATTCCTGTAAGTATATTCAGTGAACATGTATAAAAGGTCGATTATTGTAATATAATATTAGTAAGAATATTGATGTGATAATGATTGTGTTATCATTAATATAAAAATAATGTCAGTTCGATCACGTTATTATTAAATAAGGAATTCAATAAAGAGTTTTTCTGTGCCGTTTATATTTTTTACTGGTTTATCAGTGGTGAATTATATCTGACCATACAAAACACTTCTTCGAAAAGTCATCAGTAAAGTGATATCGGATGAGATTCGTTGCTGTCGAATTGAGATGTGGCCAGGCTTGGTGCTTACTCGCAATCCACTTGAGTTCTTAATGAACGTATAATGATATTCATTTCTACATATAATCGGATTAGTCCAATTAACTGTCGTATGTCATCGCTTATTACAGTTCATTTATGTGGAACGCTTATTGAATCGTTTCATTTTCTTGATTCCATCTGATGAATGCGTCTACTGAAGCCATCGTTCACTGCTCATATACGCGTGAAGTAAGACGGACACATCCAACTAAGCCGGAGTACTGAAAACCAAAGTATTCGTCAATTTACTCACATACTACCAACAATAAAATAGTGATTATTATTATGAGAAAAGTTATGATGTGATAATGGGTATAATATAATAATTATTATTTTTATCCATCTGATTATTGTTATTATTATTACAATAATGTTATTATTATTATTATTATTACTATTATTATTTTTATCAATCAATATTTGTGAATACACGCGATACATGAGAATGGCTTAGCTGTAAGGAATGAATGAATTATAATTTTTAATATAATAGATGATATGCTATAATATAATAAATATTTGTTTATACAGCCAAACAAACAATATTACTCACTGTAAGTGGTTATTATGTCATTTCATTACGTCATTGTGATCACATCCTTATTTTAAACATGATTAAGTAGCACTCAACTGTTCTTCATATCAAATATCATCAACAGAATGAGTATAGCTGTAACTGATGAGTAACACTGCTCTGCATCATTTCAAATGTGCACGGTTCTTAAATACCTCTTATGAACACGATTGCATGCTCGCTTCTTTGTGACCACAGGTCAAATTTTCATGGCATCTCAGTTTCAAGAAAAACAATTATTGCAATATTGAATTCGAATGTTTTCAAAACAGCATTACCATCAACAGTGAATATGCGATATATATATATATATA